TTCTTCAAGAGCTCTGCAGGGCTCATGTCGAATGCTTTCCAAAAACTCGCATGACGTATCCAAATTTTGCTCGTTTTCAGTGGTACCAACGAAGCTATCTGGATGGAAGAGGGAGTTGAAAATTGTCGCTAGACCCGGAAAACCTTATTAATACTGTTTCTTCACTGAACCTAGAGGTCCTAATTCCGACTGACCGTTTGAGGGTCGTCTGGTTAATCACATAGACAGCGCCAATGATATGCCAATTTTATCACGGCATTGTTACTGGTCTGCTAGCTTCTCTGCGTTTCAGAAAAAAATTTGTTGCTTGGCTGAGACATTCTTTCTAAAGTGTTTACCTGATGGGATTACTTGAGAGACGACCTTAGGTTTCTGAGCCTTGGAAGGTCCCTTCATTGATGTAAAATCGGCGAATCACCTGGGTTCGGTCGCTCTTTTCGAAGGATGTGCATATACGGTGTGATCACTTTGACGTGGTTCCCAACTGGTGGCGAGAAGAGGCTATCCGTCTAGAAGACGAAACATTAATCGTGGCACCTATATGAAGATGGTAAGAAGGTACATGAGTGAACGACATTACTAGAAAACCACCTTGATTGTGCCAGTTAGACAATTAGTGATAGCGGTGTTTGCGTCCTGCATTTCCATACGAGAGACGATTGAGTAGAAGAACGTTCATTATATAGGGACGCCATCCGCGATGCAGTTACAGAATCAACTTTACGATGGAGCTAGAGGCGTTGAGCTACAAAGTTTCCATTATGATAAGCCCTTATTCCAGCCAATCAGGGACTACCTTGTTCTGGTCCGGGTGGCTGTACTTCCGTGCGGAAGGCTTGCTGTTTGGTTTTTCCCAGAGGTCCCCCTTTGACACCTTCGTGAGGATGCCGTCCATTCATCTGGATGGACCTGGATGCGCCTCGCAAGATATAAAGTTTTATCCTTACGGCATTTATGTAAATGAGCAGATATCCGTTGAAAACGGCTCTGGATGAGCCTTCAGTAACAGGGTTTGTTAAGGTGGGTCAATGTTGTTTACGGAGAGTGCATTGTAAAATCATGATCTGATGCTATAACTGCCCTACATCAACAAAAGAGCTTAAATTTCAGACAGCCTCCAGCCGCCAGTGACTGAACATCTAAACGTTCAAACTATTAGCCTAGAGGCCGTGGGTTTGGGATGCTTTGTAGTTTAGTGAGGTGCACGAATCAGCGGCCCCGCATTCCCATGCTTTTCAGCATGCACTGGCTTCACTTACGGGGAAAATCGTATTTGGTAAATGGAACGGGCATTATTCTTATCAACGGTTGTACCGGCATGCATGCGTTTGGTCGGTGTGATCTTGCCGACCTTCCTCCGGAACGCAATATGCCGAAATTCTGGGCTAAATAATCTCGGCAGTCTTAGTCGCTCTGTTTTGGTGCCAGAAGAGAAGGTTGCAATTAAGCCTAGATTTTTCTGTACCGCGGTAAAGGTTTTGGAGGGGAAGGGCTTCTGTTGAAATTAATTCCTGGATCAGGTTACCTCATTGTTATCCCATAAAAACGCCTATTACGTGAATTCATTGATTTATTAAACTAATGTTCATCAGGCTCATGTTACGCGTCTCAGTCGTTTTGCTAACGGAGACTAAATCGTAGGTCTGTTACCACAGGATCGCACAGGATAGAAGGAACCGCCACTCAGTTCTCAAGGCGCAGCACCCTGTATTGATTGGGGAGCATTCCATCCAACGTCGGGCGTCTTTTTGTGCTTGGACTCCGAATAATTCTTGCTGACAGCACAGGACTGAGGAACCAACTAGTACCGTGTATTAATCTAGAGCAACTCACCAGCAGAGTTTGTTTCATACAGTCAGCTGTATCGTTATCAGGTTCGTAAGTTCAAATGTGACGAGTAGACAGTCGGTGTGTTTGATTCGCTAGGCATCTCAGCGCTGAGTATCATAATGATATACACTTGGTGAGATGAACTAGCACTAACGAGCTTTCAGGGTAGTAGCTGGGAGATATTTGCAATCGACTCCAGTTTTAAAGTTAATTCCGAGAAGATATTTGTGTAGTCTTTTGAGAGAACACTGAGTCACTAGGAAATATCGATGCATTTGAGGGTAGCCCTGCTGTCGGAAATCTGTAAGAAACACGCATCATTGGACGGTCTTCTTTTGTGCGTAGCACCTAAACCGTTTACGAAACACCAATGATGGGTACTGGTCACAACTCGGCGGAAAAGCGTCCGTTTTCAGGAAAGGCTAGAGTTACTCTGAGGCAATTTTATGGCAATCCAGCTGGTGCGAATAGTTGATAGATAATAAGGCACACACGTCCCGTGCGTGAGAGTTAGTACTGATCATGGATGGGAAATGAGCTGGACGCCTTTTTTCAGCACATACCATGCAGAAAGTGTGCCGCCAAATCAGACCACATTGTTACTCGCCACTTTTATCCAAACCTCGGCGACGTGCTGCAGTGAAGCTAGACCACCTGTTTACCCCAGCCGCCAAGTATCCACCGTCTTCAAGTGCATTGTTATTGAACCAGCAGTTCTAACTTAATTTGCAGGTAATTCATCAGACTAAATACAGCATGTAAAAGTAAATGTTTGCCGTAGTTCTTTAAACACGTCCCTCCAGTACCCAGAAACAAAAGGCGAGTTTTGGGGGGTATTCTTTACGGTTTCGTTTCGACATTTCCGCTGTAAATTAAAAAAAAGAATAATTTACAATTACAAAACGTTAACTTTGTATGGAATCCAACATGTTGCGTGAAATACTTTTAAGCCGATTGAGCAATAAGTGAACGAACCCCTTATATTATACCAGCTATTTCTGTTCAAGTGGTTTATTGGTTGTTAATACCCCGACGAGGAGCATAATGCCCTCAATGACAGAAAGCTCAAGCGTTCGTTCGTATGTGGACTTCACCATATAAAAATGTATCTGGGGCACTTTTTACTCACAGCTGAACTGGGCAATATAAACCAGAAAATCTCTATCGGCCATTAAAGAATGACCGACCTTGTGCATACAGAGAGCGACAACCAACATCCTGGAGATGGTTCGGTTTCTGTTTCTTGGAGAATGTTTGCTTTTGTGGCGGGTTGTCGCGTGCTTTTGTAATAAATGGTGATTAATCTGTAATAGTCATTGTGCTTGTTCTCCTTTTCGGACTGATACCGCACACGGTTTCCATGAGTCAGAAGCCAAAAATCAGGCTGGTCAACTGTTCTACTTTGAAAGCAGTCTACTTTTGGGTGAGTTGTGACTGACTGGGTTACCCTCATTCAATTGGCACAAGGCCTCAAACCAGCAAATACTAATTTTATCGCTTCCTCCAGAAAGCTCTGCACAGTTGAAGAGAAAATATGCCGACTGAGTAAGGTGAGTGTGACCCTGTGATTACATTCGGGTGTTTTGTCAATGTGTCAAAGTACCGGTAGCTCGGGTGTGTTTATTGGTGGTTGATCTGTTGATCGTTGATCTGTTCGCTGTACCTGGCAAATGGCTTGCAAACGTTTCGTCCACAGTCAAGGAGATATCGTCAGTTGTTTGCACATCCCTTTCTTGAAGTGTTGTTGGCCCGATCGTGATTTGCACTGCATTGTGGTCTGGATGTCCTGTATCCTTTTGGTTCGTTGGAGGGATGCTTTGGGGAGTTTTGAGTGTGTTTTCTTTTAGTCTTTTACCGGTCTGTGCTGCGTTGTAGTCTGTCTTCCCTCTTGTCGATTGCGCACCGTCGATGTCTCCCTGACTGGGGACGAAACGTTTGGAAGCCGATTGCGAAGCTCGGCGAACAGATCAACGACTCTCTGATCAACCACTAAGTTAGATGTTTATATACAGTTAACAACAAGATTTAATGAGTGACTGTAAAAATAATAAACCAGCGCATGGCACTTTAATCGATCTTCCATCCTTGGGACAGTGCACAACTGTTTCATCCATAATGAGGATTATCATTAGACCGGATCTAACCAAACTCAATAGCGATCCACGTACGAACCCACCGAGTGAAGTATCCGCCAGTAAAGATTCATACCAGGTCTTTTCAGTCAGTGGCTAGATATAGTAGCATACGCACTATGTGCTAGCATTAGAAGTCGCAGCCGATGACAAGGTACATTCGTCTGCGTATGCTTTGCTGGAATTGTCAAATATCTGCGTTCCAAGCGGTCCCACTAAAAAAACGAAGCCAAGTAATCCTGTCTCACAAGTTTGTTGGTCGGGGGCAAAGGAAACCACCTTTCCTAAAAATATACATCACTTGACGTTGGGTCTTGAATAGACGGCTGGGCATCCCCTATGGATAGGAGAACTGCGTTTGAATTTTCAAACGTGTCAACTCACTAATGTCTGGGCGGGCGTTCGGTATTCGCACAAATGAATTGAAAATTTGAAAGTTGTGACGTGTCCCTGATGGACTAAAGTGATCGGACAATTAGGTTGAAAGTACCAGTGTAAACGTTTAAGTCCCATTTAAGCGTCTTGGAGTCTCAGCGGTGCTAGAAAGTTGTCCCACAGGACTTTTCAGCCAGAGGCATGGTCGCTTTAGTGAACAATGAAATTTGGTGAGCTGCCAAAATATGAACGTATATTAAGACGCTTTTTGGTTTGAGCACATAAGCAATAAAATGCAACATTCCGGCGTAGAAAGTTTCACCCCACTTGTAAAGGTTCTGCAGCTGAGAGCATTGTGCGGATACTGGTACCGTCTGCACGCGCATACAGAATATCGCCTAGTAAACCGCGAGACATGGCCTCTGTGGACATATCATGTGATGCATCTCCACGCTTTCGATCACCGGTGCCCAAGAAGAGTGGCTTGTTTTGGGTGACGTCATCGTGTTAGTAACGAGGTGATTAGAAAACGGGTATTTGGTTGTGCTGTATGCACCACAATCCGAAAAAAACATCCAGTATCATCGACTATGATGGCTCGGTCATCTGCTATGCATGCCGAAACACCGTATACAGAGACTAGTGTTGTTCTCCGTGCCTCTTTCAGGGTGGTGCAAACCACGAGGTGGACAGCAGATGACTTAGCAGAAAGGCGTGAAGGAGATCACGGAGAGTTTGGGTGTTGTTGGTGTTGTACGCCCTCCAGGATGGGGGCCCCGTGACCCCGTCCGTGCTTGGCTGGAGACGTTGCAAGAAATGGCGGCCGATCGATATCAGTGGCGTTCGTGCTGTCAGTCTCTTACCGGAATGTCTGACTGAGCGGTTTTAGGTGTAGACACTCAGAACGCTTGACATAGGCCAGCACTAGGTCTTCTCCCCCACCCACACTTTTTCTCTTCTTTTAATTAACACGGCGGTGAAGCATCAGTGCCAACATTGATGTTGTTGTCTTTGATGATGATAATGATGATGTGCTGTAACCAAATTAAACGTGGGGTTAGATTACCAGAACAGAGGAATAGCGCTGTCATTCGTGAGTGTATATCACGATGTCTAGTATGCTACCACACTACTAGAGATATTTGAACAAAGAAGTTTCCTACAACGACTCGTTTTGCGAAGTTGTTCAATCATAATTTGTTCATATAAGTTATTGTTCATAGGTTGTTCATAAGTTGTTCATAAGTTGTCCATAAGTTGTTGTTCACAAGTTGTTCAATCATAAGCTAATTAATTCTTCGGTCATTCGTCCCCGATTTCCATGTGATTCCCCACCTCCGGTAAGGATGCACCCCTTTTCTCTAAAAAAATATCTGCTAAAGATTTTATCCATGGAAAGAAAAATCATGAGTCCCAATATCTATAAGTAGCGCAGAAACGAATTACGGAAAAGCTGAAGCGAACTGGATATTAGACATAATCAGGGTTGCAAAACCACTGAAATTCTGGTTGAAATAACGGAAATGTTTCAACTTCCAATACACAGTTTTAAGTTGACTGCTCAATCTCAACCCTGCCTCCAGTTTGTGGAAAACATATCGTGAGGCCCATTTCCTCCGAGGATGCATAGGTATGGACATAATTAGTCCTGTTGGAGGTCAGTAGTACTGGTTTCATCCTTAGATGTTGATAGGTGCAGAATTATCATTCAAAGCACCGCAATATTGGTAGAAACTGATATCTAACTGCCATACATCTTTGAGCGCCCAAGTGGTTAGAGCGCGGATTTACTGACCGGAATGTCCGTGGTTCGAATCCGACCCCCGCCACCCGACTTCCCCTGTCTAGGCTTGGGCAACCTGGCAGTATCCCAGCCCTCGTGCTTCTTTCAGGTGGCATGGCAGCTAGGCACCGGAAGGGTGCTAAAGCTGAACGCTATACAACTTTGACAGTAGAACACTTCAGTAAGAAGCAGAGTGTAAAGTGTGTTTGGAAAATCACGTGAGTCCTGGAACGCACTGCCGCCACCTTAACTTTGCGTTTCCAAATCGTGTCCCGTTCGTCGCAAAAATGCCATCATTAGTGGATTTGAACAGGAAACAGCACTGTTGTCGGTAGACAAGGATTAGCAACATAACCCCCAGTAACTGCAGGATAAGCCTCCATTTTCCTACTGAAAAGTTTAATTTATTGCCAGTTGATGGATTACACACCATCCCACGTGCAAGGTACATTCTCATACAGCAAAAGCAACTGTAACTAATCCGTCAGAAAAACAATTTAATTTGCTCGGCTTTATTATATTCCCCAGCCACAATAAATGATACATCCACGTAGAATAATCCAAAATACTCAACGAGCCAAATCAGGTAAGAACACAAGCCTCCTAGTAGTCTAATTAATTGTATTAGCGGCATTGTTTATTGCCTCCGGCAATTCTCCTTTTCGTATGCATGTTGCCTAAGTAACAGTCAGTCATGCTGTCAGTGCCTATTATTTAGTAAGCTTATGAAGTCCTGAGGACATGCGGCTCAATAGGACAGTCCGAGTGATGAGAGACAGTTTAGGCGGTATTGATGGTAAATCAGTTGCCCGACAAAGTTACTCTCGCCTGAAACGTACGTGGGACTAGTGGTTGCAATTAATGAGCGTACATGAAATAAACCCAAAGGATAGCAAGTCCCTAGGGGGTTAAACCTTGAGAACTGCTTTCAAGAAGCCCGTTAGCACTATCGTCTGACAATGCAACCAAAATGACAGATTTCTGTATTAATGCGGCATTTTATTTTGAAAAATGAAGTCTTGTCCAACTTCCAACTGCCAGATGAAGGAATTAGTGCTCACTTTTTAAAAAAGTAAAGTGAAGTAGTGGGCACTGAATCTAAAAACCTTAGTTTGTAGAAGAGAACAAGAGAGCAAACATATCACTACTTTCTGCACTGCATTTCGCGTTTTATGGAGCTTAAGACCGCACGAGCAAATTCTTGGTGGAAAAACGGACTCCGTCCGGAAAACATGGCACAGTCATATGATAGCCTTTATAAATATACACTGCTCACAATATGAGAAACCTCTATGATCCACACCAGTGCCTGATACACCTAAAGTATTGAGAGAATATTTGGATGAAAAAAACGAAGATTTATGGAACCACGGATTTGAGAAGCTAGGGCTACTTCAAAGAGGTATTTCAAAGAAATGAATAACGGTGTGTCACATCGAAAAAAGAATGATTAGTTGTCACAAAAAAATGAAATGGCGGTCCCATTACACCGACCAAGCTTTTTTTCTGCTCAATAAGATTTGGACTTCATTGTCGGAATCAAACTTACACGTGTAGGCTCATGGTCTTTGGGTAAATCTTGGGCACAAGTAAGCGATATCTTACCCAGACATAATGGTCGTTTCGAAGGGAGGCCAATTCTACCGAAAGGACGCTTCTGCATCCCCTTGGATTTTACCATTATTTGAGTGAGTTTCACACTGAATATTGGCTGATAGGGAACGAGCATATGGCTTCTTCATGACAGCTGCCTTTCTTTTGAGGCACATTGCTTAGATGGTTTGCTGTGTTTCCCTTGTTAATTATGAAAAGGCGATTATAATAACCGAGAATTCCTTCCTAGACGACGTTTTCTCACCAGAAGATTGCAGCATAACTAATCAGTCAGGAGCTGGTTCCCTATAGATGATGGTTCTCCATAGATAGAGGAGCCCTATCAAAGAAACCTTGGAAGTAAGCCCCTCCTGTAGACAGTATTCAGCGACGCCTCGACGGATACGCCTTTTATACCCCGTCATTTTTTGGAAGCTTACACCAAACTCGTGTACGCCCAGAAGGAAGATCGTTGAAAAGATGTCCTCCGAAACAAGCAGATATTAAGTGTGATTTCACTATAATGTGGACGGTGCTCTAGTCAGCTTTATCATGTGAACACCTGAGATGACAACGACCGTTCCCGATATTCGGATTTCTTCGATCAAATTAAGGCAGGTTTGTGCACCCTCGCGAACACCTAATTACAGTCTGTTTCTTGGTAGCTCTTTCTCCAAGTCATCATCATCAGTAAACCAGCAGTTGCAACAGGGACATTTTATCCTCATTGTTTTTTAGCAAAATTCTTGGGGAGAGAAAGGAGAGCGAAACAATTTTCTCTGCTCCGTCACTTTAACTGGAGTATCACGACATCATGGAGCTTCTTTGGTAGTAAATTCCAAGGTAAACGGTTGATACAGTTTATTGAATTGGGCGTTAATGAGTAAGAGTAGAATGGAACGTAAATGAGCACAACCAAAGATAAAACTATCCTTCAAGAGCCAACTGTAATGTTCTGGTAGCATTATCTTTACAGTTAGGGATACTTGGGTAAGTTTCTCGCAATTACATACGAACATTCGTTTTCCTCGCTTGTCTTATCCAATCCACCTTAAGCTACAGTGTGCACATGAAGAAAATATCTCATCTAAATAGAGTTATCCACGATTTAAGGGAACATCATTCCAATGTATGTTTGAATAAGTCATCACATCTGTCAGCCCATTGTTGAGTTGCTTGATGAGACCTGCGACAGTTCATGTTTGTGCCTAATAGCAAAGTACTTAGTCTGTGATGTAGTGCAGATTTCTCTAGGTTAGCGATTCGCTTTGAGCATCAGTCTGTTTTAAGGTCGATCCATTTTTAGTTCACCGAATAACTGAACCAGCCGACTCATTTGTGGTGGTCGTCCCGTACACAGTATCATCCGTGAGTGCTTGTTAAGACCTAACAAGAGACGGATAAAGATGGACGGAATGAATGATGTTGCTTCAGGGAGAACATTCGTCGTACAAGCATGATTACATGCATCTAAAATCAGTGTGACGTGTACCTTTCCGCAATGACGTATCGGTTAAATCTAGATTCCTTCTTAAATTTGTATCCAGTTTGATAATACTTACCCTATGCACACTTAGAACACGTTATTTATTTATTTAACATAAGTTCGTGATTTTCCGGGTTTCCAAATAGCATTACTTCAGTGGCAAAAATAGTTTCAAGTCAGAGTAGCAATGGCTACATGAGTTGAAATTTTTGTGCATGTGAACGTCGGGTATCAGGCGCTTCATCTGGTGTTCGTGCCCGTAAGACGGACTGCCCACGAATAGACGAGAGCCAACATTTCTGACGCGCGTTAGTGGCTATGGCAAGTTGAGTCACCTGTGGCTCTGTCTCGCACATACGTTGGTTTTCCTGTTTTTAGGCACCAGACCCAGGCTCCTGCATCTGTCATCCGGCTCAGTCAAATTTAATGAGCGCCACAGCATGGCATCAACTATTTGTAACACCCAATGTAACAGAATCAGACTCGATTAACGTTCAGGACTAGGCCCACTCGGTAACAGGGCACAATATGTGATTGCTTGCAGTTGGTTTAAACTTATTCAACTTGTTGACTGACTTCATGCCACTAAGGGTGCACGTGTCAGCACATTAAGAAAAAACAGCAGAGAAGTGTAAGCAGGTGTGAAACGTACCACTGGAAAACGGCGAACAGACATTCGATTTGTTCGTAATAGCCTAATGATTATTGCTTTGCTCTGGATAAGGAACCAGCTTCAAGAATATCAGCTGACTCGTTGCAGCAAAGTGATGAAAAGACTGTAGGGAAAAACCGAACGATGCGAAATGCCATGATGAGACTAAAGGAGATCTATTCTCTCACTTGCAAAAGTCGTCCGTTCGTGCTTCTGGCTGTTTGTAACTTCTTGATAATAGCCTATACCAGCGCTGTCTGGTATGAACAAAATCCCTTTTAATATCGATATACAGCGCAGCACAACGTGTTGTATCGAATGGAGACGATCTAGTTGAGGTCAGTTCATAACTTAGCAGCAAAGTATGGAACCCCTCATCAGTCGACTGAGTCGCGAGTCCCCTGATGCAGGATCGCGGGACGAGACAAACCAGTTGTTAGTGACCCTGGCAGATGTGGTTGTCACGCAGAACCAAAGCTATTGCCTGCACTGGGTTACCCTCACTTCCTGTCGTAGGGAAAGACAGATCCTCATTGAGCCATGGAGCAATCGCCTCCAAAACGTGGCCATCATTCCCATTCACCCCTTATAGTCAGTGAACTGAACTGTAGCAGCTTAAACCACTGCATAGTACACGGTTCGTAAGCTCAAAAATCGAAACAACCTAGACCCAAAACGGTTTTTACAAACATTATCTTTGGCACTGTGAAGCCTGGTGAACATTAGCATGTCTGATGTAGTACTTGAGCTACCTTCAGTGCATAATGTTGACAGGGAAAAGCCGATACTGGGGGCTTGGTGGCGGTAGACAAACAGGAGTAGGTATAAGCCAGCAAACAAATAAAAGCAGACCGGGAATTATTCGGCTGAATTCGCTATCTAATAGACACTATTCTACTCCTGCAGGTTCCACTATTACCGTCTGAAACTCTGGAGAGGCAGGTATTCACCATCAGCTTTTCAACATCCAGACAACTTCAAAACACAGCAATAGTTGGTATTCAAATGCGACTATCTTTGGCAAAAATGTTCATCACATGGTCACCATCTGGCCGTACTATGGGTCGCTTCCAACCATGTCTCGGTTAATTTCACGATGCAGTACCGCTCAACTCGCTAGTATGTGCATGCGTTGATGGCGCAGTGCACACAGCAGATAGCAGTGACATGGACATTCTCACCGAAAGCCAAGACTAACGTCCTCAGCGTGGAAACGCTGAAGTTTCAGATAATTTATTCATTTCGTTTTCTGGGCATAGCTCTTATTCAGAAGATTTATAGTTATAACCGAACACTGGCTTCTTGATTGCCTCTGTCTAGGCTTGGGCACTTTCGTAGTAGGTCACTTCTCCTGCTTCCTTCAGGTTGCACCATAGTCATGTAATGGAATGATTTCAGAGCCCAACACCAGTGACTTTTATTAGGTGTGAGTTAAGTGGGTGGAATAAGGCTCTATCCATATTTCAAGCTGTATTGAAGAAACCCTGGCGAGACATGATAAAGGCAACACAGATTCTGTAGTCCGTTTTCCGACAGTTCGTATCGACCTTCCTTTGAGTAATCGTCACTCGGGAAAGCAGGTGACACTTCTGCGCAAAATGCCACTTTTAGGTCGGAGTTCAGCTACGCCGAGCAGCCTTCTGTCTTTTTGTTTTGAATGTTGCGGATTTCACTCTGCCCATCATCATCATCATCATCATCATCATCATCATCATCATCATCATCATCATCATCATCATCATCATCATCATCATCATCATCATCATCATCGACGGCATGACATCAGTGTTCAACACTGACGCTTCACTGCCGTACCTCACTCTGCCCAGAGGTTCACAATCTGCCGTGTGCTGTTAATTTCCAGTAAGACTAACAAAAGTTTACGGTATGTCTCGAATTTGCATCATAGGATAGCTGTGCCGACATGGTGGGATTGTATGAAAATACAGGTGAATATGGAAGAGGACTTTGTACCTTGGTTCGACATTCGGGAAACCAACATGGGCTCTCTTTCAAGCGTATCACATTGAAGTATTGCCTGTTCTTTGTGCAGGTTGACACTAGGTTCGACGGTTTTTAACCGGACGAATTTAATCAAGACTCACTTACCTCCACATTGCACATGAAATTCCTATGCGTTTGCTATGTATTTTCAGAGACATTTTTTCAACAAAATTCTAGCTGTATAACCAAACAAGCACAGATATATTCCGAAAGTAAGAATCTTTCTCACCCTTCCTGAACAAATGCTGAAAGAGCACCCGTTCACTCACCTAACAAAAAAGATGGATTTACTGCCAAGAATGATGTTGAATAGTGGCTGTACTCGACGGTCATCCAAAGTTGGTCAACGAAATTTTCCGTAGATATCTTAGGAAGTAAGTATTTCCTCTGTGGTAAGAAGCTTACGTAACCCGCAATTAATCGCGTCATACTACACCCTATATAGTCGGCCCTATGTAGCTGTCTCAGTCGGTTTATCTTCTTCAGTAGTTTTTTTGTACTTCGCGCTCTTCTTCCCCTTACGTTTCCTGCGCAGGCGAATCCCACGTACTGCAACCATTGTGCGCCACCAGGACTGAATCTGAATGACGGACATTATAACTCGCTTGGTATATTCTTCTCTCAGTCGAATAGCGTCTTTCTCGCGCTGATCAACGCGCAAAATGTTATCACATGTTTCGTAATCTTCTTGCAACTTGACGTGCAAGGCTTTGTGGTCCTCAAGTTGTTTTCGTATCTGCTCAAGACGCTGAGAAACTTTAAGTGGAAGATCGTTCTGCGGGATTAGTTCGGACAGCATTACTTTCTTTGTAATATCCGAATAGAGCCAACAGTTTGTCTCTTCACTTACTCGTGTTGATTGAGCAATTACGGCTTTTACACGCTCCACCTTGTCAGTAAGTTCCCTTAGATTGCCGGTTTTTGCTGCCATTTTTTCATGTAAAGCGGTTGTGTATTCTTTGGATTTGTACTGCAGGACCATCTTAGCCATTTCTCTCACTTCCTGGAATTCATGCTTAAGATTTCTCAAAGTCGCAGCAAATTCCACGGATTCCTTCTGGATGTCCATTTGCAAAGCTTGTACGTCTTCTTGCAACCTGGCCAGCTCTTGTTCTTTTTCCGCTGCAGATCCGACAAACGTTGCCAGCTTGTCTAGTTCTGATTGTTCTTGATTGTTGTACTTTTCCAAAGTAGTGAATGTACCACTCTCATCAAGTTCGATCAGCAAGTTTCGCAAGGTTGAAGCTACTCGGGATACTATTTGCAGATATTTAACTTTGATACTCTCATGTTCGTTCAGTTTACGAAATGTGCCATCCGGCAGCTCCAGGTAGTCTTCACGTCTGGATTTTTCATAGCGTAGCAAAGTCTGGAAGAATATTTTGTTCAGTTCTGTGAGCAACGTGTCTTGATTAGTTTGTGCACACCCAGATGATCTATTTTGAGAAGTGAAATTATGTTTTCCAATATTCGACAATAATTCGACCTCTTTGCAGGCATCACTAAATACAGCCAGAAGGGCTAAACATTCCGAAGGTGTGAACAGAGACTGCGTCATTCGTCAGAGTGTCCGAAGCGTTCAAACCAATCAATGAGTTGATCACGTGAAGCTGAGGATTTAATGTCTCGGTTCCCATCTAAACTGACGCTTTGATTTAATCGGTTAATACTGGAACAGTATGGCTGTCTTGTGTGGCCATGAGAGCTTTTCATTTGAAACTATCCCGTCTCAATAAATAACAGTCTCCGGAATCATCCCTACTTTTTCTACATTAAATTTATATATCAAATCAAATCCCGCATCAAAAGTAGGAAAACTCAAGTGATTTATAACAGTGGTTAATCAGTAAGACAACTACGTTAAGAACCTGAATGCTTTATATGAGTCAGATAGGTGTTTTTAACTTTTCAATATTTTTAGAAGAATGCTTAGCTTAAGTAATGTGCAATTGATAAAGACACCTTAAATATGCTCAGGACTGATCACGTGTAAGGATGAAGCAGTCCAACTTTCCGGTCAAATTAAGGTTCTATGTTGATTTTATCTGTACGTTTGTTGGTTGCCCGCACTTAGTGAGACCTCTTGCGTTTTTCGAGAATTCCTAAGCCTCTCTGTATTTAGTACCCACTAAGCTGAAACATTTTGGTTCGTCACTCTCTTATGTAAGTTAGCCTTACATACCCCACCCAGATAAACAGTTCACAAAAATCATTGTTATCCACGAGTAGTTGGTTCATAAGTTTGGAAGGTATATAGTTAGGTAATAAACCACCTGTCACCTCTAATGTTTTTTTCCGGAAGTTCATTTACCAGGTCTTCTTTCGTTGTACCTCACAAGAGATTATTTGAGGTTCAAGAACAACAGTAACGGAGCTAGCCAGAGTGCACTGTTTCTGAACTCGGTCCGTATCGTTGCTTTGAGGTTCATGGATTGCAACCATGAAGCTTGCTAGTACTGATGGTTAAATTATGCTTCATTATTAGTTTGGCGGCTTGATCTGGTAAAGCCTTGAGTAGAAATCCACAATTAGGTGGTGTGAGAAGAAACTGTGGGGTAACTCGTGCGGGTGCGTTTGCCTAAGGCTCTGATACATCACAAGGGCTAGAAGCTGGTCTGCGGTGAAAAATGCCAGCTAGATACAAAGGTAAATTTTTCCGGAGGACGTACAATCTAGTTTCATTTTCAGGTCGGTAGTGGATTGTCTCCATGCGTTTTTCCAGAATTTCAGGCTTCACCGTATCTGTAGCACTTGATCTTCAGCAATGCATATATAACATCAAATCCTTTGCTAATAGATACTCCTTTTTTATGCCGATAAATGCATTTGCTTACACGAATGCTGCTAATGTGCCTTCGAGGTGAAGAATTCGAAATCTGTTAAATTTCCCCCCTTTGTCCTCATGCATTATGACTCCAGGATTAGTTTCAACACTACAAAGTTTAGAACGACACCAGATGGTTCACATACAAGACATTTTCTTCTGAAAAATTTACCCAACCGGTAATAAGTATGAAAAAAAGTACAAAACGATAAAATCACCCTCCCCAAACATTCTCACCGGCATCCATCAAAGCGGCTGAGTTTGATGCTGCGTCAGATTCAGTGCTTCAATCACACCAGGAGATAATTTGTCCCCAGGCACAATTAGGAGGAGCGTGGGCTTGACGCGGTACCAGCAGACGTGAATGATTACCAAGATTACTCAACTTTCCGACCATTATTACCGCGAGTGCTGTCTGATACGATCAGCCTACATTCGAAGACCCTTCGTTTCATCCACGACGGCCAGTTTGAGGCAAGACAAACCATTATGGGTTGACAATCATCTCATTTTTGTGTATTGGTGTAATCGCCAACAATGAATGCAATACTAACCATTTACTGGTCTCAGTTTATTTGCGAAAGCTACCCCTGTTAAAGAGAACTTAGAACTGGTGTTGCGTCATTGGTACTTAGGATATTTTTTATCAATACACTGAGGAGAAATTTTGCATGTGATTGTATCAGGGGTCAAGATATCCGTGGTAAAATGAGGCATTTCATATCCCCAGTGTGGAATCGATACTCCACCCTGGGATTTCCAATCACACGCTATCACTTGCCACCTCCTGTACATCTTACGGAAATAAGGAGAACGTTTCTGACGAGCATGTTTAAATTCAGATGTGACTGCTGACACTCGTTTGCGCAAACTGCCTCTTGTGGGACAACAAGCCATCATCGTTTTTGATAAAACGGATGACCAGACATTTATGTGCCCTGTAAAGTTACTAAGGCATCCAGCTGCAATTTTACTTGGAGCCTTAAGGAGGATCATGCAGCAACCATCCGACAGAGGTACCACCAACTGAAGACTCCTAAGCAGACGGTCGGTTCGAACATTCAGTTCAACCAATATCGATGCATGGACATCTTGCAAATGATGAAACTTCTCTATTCTTGCATATAGTCATATGCATTTTTATCATAGTATTGGAGAGTATGAAACTTCGGTCGAGATTACTTTCAGTATACTGAGTCATTCTATAATCAAAACCCATGGAGCACAGTACAAAATACTAAAAAATAATCGTTCAGCTGTAACACCCTTTTGGTATCTAGCTGCCATACCACCCGAAGGAAGTACGAGGGCTTGGATACTGCCAGGTTTCAAAAGCCTAAACAGGGGAAGTCGAGAGACAGAGGTCGGGTTCGAACAATGGACCTTCAGTGAATTCGCGCTCTAACCACTCAGCCATTCCGGCGTCTCTACCCACTTCATCTTAACTGGGAATCAGCAGAAGTGCTTAGCTCTCGAATCTTTAGAGTGACGTTATCTGGAGATTTTCGGGCTGGTAGGTGGTGAGTAAACCGGCTTACTAGCAGTGTGGATAACTCACACGCAGGCAGCATAAGAACCATCCGTCTTTCAGTCAGCTGCTAGCAGAGATGCCGCGTGTTGCAAGCTTCTTGGAGATTCCTGAGCTGATTCCTGATAAAAAGTAGCCTGTCATGCAGTACTTCTCAGCTTTCTCCAGGTATTGACTTCACTTGCACGGCGAATTCTCTGCTGACATTCACCTTTCTATTATTATTTTTCTGGGATTGATTATGGTGCCTTTTCTCTTCTCATCATGTCTAAGGACTGTGCCTGGAACTCCTGTCACCCACCAACTTTCGCCGGCAGTGTTTTTGGTGGTTTTTGGTTGACGAAGACGTGGTCAGGTCCGTAAGTTTACGCGCACAATAGGTAGATCAGGTAGGCAATAAAATCGATGGATATCTATCACATTACTATGACCATTGAAACCAATGCAACATTGTTCTAGGTTGTGGACACGGATTTTTCCCCCCGGTAACGACGAAGGTAAAACTCTATACTCCAACACGTACTAGTGGAGTTGATACACGTGTTCTGATTAGCATAGTCAAACAGGTGAAAAATATTGGTCAATTCGTTCCTGGTTACACTCTAACTCCTCATTTCTAGGCACCCACGGAAAAGTCCGAAGAAGGCTGGATTGCCTTTGCTTAGGTGACAAAACGGCCACTTGAATAACAATGCCATGTGAGCTTGATTAGGCTCACGGTAATAATAGGTTGTGTGATCAAAGAGGGTGCAAGCGAGTCCGCTGATGTTGGAACCTACAAATGGCAGAGTGGGATGAAATTACTCACACTGACCACAGCGTATGAAGGCAAAAATATTACGGCCCTGAATATTTCGACCTGGGATATTTTCTTCAGTATGAGCAAAATATACTTTCCCGCTAGTCTCAAGAAGCTTTGGCTGAATCAGCTCGGCAGTTTTTGTGCTACAGGCCAGACTCAAGTAGGTGAAAAAAGTAAAATAGCACTCGTGAAGATACTGATGACTACTCAGCAAACGTATTTCGGGGGATGACCTTCATCAGTGGTCAGATGACTGACATTGACCTTACCAGTGTGAGTAACCAGAGACTGGTAAACGTCTTGTCATGTGTGCTGTGATCGGTAAGTGTCATGCTGCTAGCGTTAGACGTGTATGCCTCACACCTGACCTTGGGACTAAGTAGTGTGATGTAGTAGGCCAGACCCAATGGCAGGAGCTCAGCTTGAAAGCATCATATAAACAATAACTGATTCAACACAACGGCTCTCTGCATGTGCTCGTGTTTCTTGGAGTTGCTCGACAGTATAATTTAGATTTGTTGATCCGAACTTCATATGGTCTGCTGGTGTGCCCATTGTAAATGCGGTCACAACGTGTACACTTAGCCTTGTGGATGCTTTTAGCACGGTCATCGAGTTGAAGGGGGTCGTTTGTGCGAACCGGTTATCTTTACAGTCCACTAGGAGAGTTGTGCAGATGACGAAGCTGCAAAGTCCACATTGAATACGTTTAGTTGTGCGCTGCCGGTACGAAATCCGCATCAACTGGTTCAACCCTCAGTCAGGCTGCTGGGTTTTACGGCTGAAGCGTGCGTCCCATTAAAGTCTGTTAGATACCCATTGTTTCTCAATGCCTGTTTAATATTAATAATCTAGCTTTCACAGAAAGCTTTGGACAGATATGCCGCCCCGTTTGACTATAGAAATAAGAAATGAACGCGATCAATTCAGGCTGACTGAACAACAAATTGATCGACCTGAGATGACCTACCATCCTCCGTGAGCGATACTCTAATCCATTTCCTATTGATTGATTTAACTTAGTGGTCCACGCTTCCATCATTCTTCCTATTCCTCTAATTTGACCGAATATCCATTCCTGATTCAATCACTCAAGATAATTACGATGGTGTTTTGACTAGTTCAGCCGGAGTATATTTACACTTGAAAAGAGGTTTGAGCAGACATTGAAAATGACCTGAGCGAAACTACTCACAAGGTTGCTGAACCCTCTTCTACGGCCCGCAACCAGTTTCGCTCTTTTTGGGTCTCATCAGGTAGGCGCAGTCATTGGATTTCCGTCAACCTTATGTTATAGTTGAACCCGAATTAGACTGAGTTCAAAAAATACTCTCATTTGCAAATCAATTTCGTTTTCACGGGAGTTTCGACAGAATCTCTCATTCATGATATTCTTCAACCGGA